GGTGGAAGAGTGAGAACACAGGAGCACGCTGTCTCTCTGTGTGTGTGTTATCACTTAGACTCAACAAAGCAAAACAGATATCTGGTTCATCCTTAAATTAGGTTTTTAAATTTTAAATGTCAAACATCATGACCAGAAATGGAAATGTTCTGTGAACTGGTGATTTGCTTTGGATACGGAACTTAAACAAACTACAAACAATCATCAACTCCCGTGGCAAAATGGAGCTGTGAAATGAAAAAGAATAATCGAACCCAGTCCAACACTAAAAGGACCCGGCAGGTCGGCACTGAGTCAGTGTGAGACTGATTCTTTCCAGCACACGGACCTTATGCCTCCAATCAGGATCAATGAGTTCAACGAGTCCAGCGGGTACAATTCCGAACAGAATGAAAAAAAAAAGGAAGTTGAACAAGAGGAAACTTGTTCGTAGTCAACCAGAAATAAAATACCAACACCGACAGTGGCCAACAGGCCGCCCGGGAACACTGCCTCTAGGAGCAACAACACTGCTGTGATGTGCTGCAATAAACATAAATCAGAGGTTATAAAACTGCTTTGTCCAACAGCTTTGAATGTTAAATGTATTTTGAGACCAACCCTTGGACACAGCACTGTGGTTTCATGTCTTGAGAACACATCAGAGACCGGAACACAACATGTTTTTGGTTTTGGGAGGCAAAGGAAGAAGGGTGAACCCACGGTGAGGTAATATGTACATGCAACATTTAGAAGTTTAGTCACTTCTACAACTTTCTTTCTGGAAACATCCAGCTCTCTGCTGCAGTATTCTCAGTGGAATGGCATCATAACGTGTGTATTTGATCACTGTTTGTCAAGTTTTGATCTATAAACAACTTTCTTACTCTCTCATTAGTTCATTTTGGCAAATTGCAATGAATATGACATCATTAACTTAAGTACAAAGGGTGTTGTTTTTACTTCAGAAAGCCACAAAACGTTATAAAATACAACCTGTATTGTCCCAGACTTCTAGGTAAAAAAACCTACTTGGCTGCTTAATAGAAGCAACCAGCCACAAGTTAACCAAGTAGAGGAAGTCGGCAGCGTTTGGTAACATCCTGTATTAAGTCTGGGGTCAAACCCTTATGCTTAACCCAAACCCCGATCTTCAACCATAAATCAGAATAAACGAATAACGACAGCCGCTCAGGCAAAATGTGGTGCGTTGTGCTCGCGGAGCGTGATTTGCATGCGCAGGTGATAATATATAACTTACGTAGAATGGATAAGCTTGCTTGCTCCCTTTAGCCAACATGAGATATGAATTTCTTCTCACGTACTCTTGAGCTCAGAGCCCAACAGCTCAGCGTTACCACATCTACTGGCATCGACAGGACGTTAGTGGTGAAGCCCACCAAAATCGATTATTTCTATTTCTGCCTTTTATGAAATGCACACAGCAAAAGAGAATTGCTCTGCACGCTTTACGATGGAAAAGTAATAGTTTTACAACACAAAAAAGGGAGCTGCTATTCCAGTGCGAGAGAACTCACGACAGACTTTAAGTTAATAAAGACTAAATGCTCCCCACAAGATGGAATCCCCAAATCAGTACTGCAATGCAATGCAGCAATATGTAATTTATCCTTCAACATATCCGTTCATCACTGTGTCATGACAGATCGTCTGGCAGACCCCAATCTCTTAGAAGCAGAGGATCCAAACCGACGTCCCAGACTTTTAGAATATGAACAACTAAAGAACAGTTGTGGCGTACTTGTTACATTCCTATATGTAGAAATAATGGGTTGGCTTTCCAGCTGTGGTACAATCCAAGTTACTGTATACTTGGCTTGTACCACAGCCACTGAGCTATCAAGCAACTGTCTGTTGAGATGCTGTGTTGCCAAGTACATTTTACATTTTACACAAGCAATACTTCATCAGATATCTTATAAGCTCAGCAATGATAAACAGAAAGGATCGTTGCAGATATCAAAGACAAATGCTCATATTTCAAACATGACAGTCCAGCATTAAATTCCTTACTTAAGGAAATTAGTGGGGGTTTTTTATTTTGGAGACAATTGTGCCGGTAATGCGTTTAAAAAACACTTCCAGGAAATTTCAAGATTGTGGACATGAAATCCTGCTTTCAGCCCAAACTCGACTCCGATCTTCCTCTGAAGCAGCTCCAATGTAATCCATCAGAAGGAAGAGTACATTATTATTGATTATTTTATGAGCACTGCCCTTTGGTCATGGGCTTTATGAATGTACCAATAGGTTTTATGGTGAAGTAAAGTTTGTAGCGGGTGCACATGCAGGGAAAAGCCACGTCCCGACGGGACTGTACGGTGTGTTTGTCCATAACTAAGAAGTAATCGTGCGCCCTTTTCTGTTGTGTCCGTGGTTGCACACATCCGTTGTGTACTTTTACAGAGGTGAGGATTGTTGGTTGGCGCTGTGTTGTAGGCTGTGTGTTAGCTGGGATGGTTTTTGTGTATTTTGGCTCTCGTACTGTAAATGTGTCTATAAAGACGGCACTTTGTGTTTTTTTGTACTGATGAGGTGAATGAGTCTGAAGACCTTAACTGACATGTTAACAAAATGATGATCAAATATTATTTTACTAGTCTGGTGTGTGGCCCCTTTCCTAAAAATGAGTTTGACACCCTTGGTGTAGTGTGTACCATATTTTAAAGATGGAGAAATGTCGTCTTCCTCTCTGGCAGTGGGGGAAATTATATAAAGAGTGTAAATGGATTCTTAAGAGAAGGCTCCAGGTGAGGTGGCTGCATCATGGTGAGATGTTCACCATTGATCGCTTGCATTTTGTTTACTGTAATACTTCCCGTTGAACTATCTTTTCCTCTCAAGCACACACTCAAGTTTCTGTGGGTGGATGGAGGATTTTGAGCTGATCCCTCGCTCCACCTTCACAGCCCCAGGTTGAGATATGTTTAATCAGACATGTAGAAGTATGCAGAAGGCACACGCTCCAGCTTCATGATACTTTTGCAATTAGTTAATGTGGGCAAACAGGATCCTTGCTCTGATTCAACGTCGGCGAGCAAATTATCGTACCAATCTTCAAAACAGCATCCTTCTGAAAAGTTTCTTTTGCCCAAAAGACCTAGATTAAAAAAAAAAAAAGTATTTTAAACATTAAAGAGAGTTTGAGCAGCATGCTGCTAGACACCTGTTTCAACTCAGGCCTTTGGCTCCTAATGAAGTGTGACTCACACACACACACACACACACACACACACACACACACACACACACTAATTATCACAATCAAAGCCACATAGCTCAGCGCAGTGAGGGGGCTGACATAAATGAACAGATGCAAATGGCTGAAACAGGCAGCGACTTTGTCCGGATTGGCTCTAGAGGGCCGGGAATGTCTCGTGAGGAAACATCATGCAGTGATGCTCACTGTATGTTTGGAAAACACAACTCTGGTAGAGAGATTCGAGGCAACTGTTGAATTATACACTCATTTACAAGCGCATCTTCACAAAGTAAGGATTTTGAACAAAAATGTTAGAAAAATAATCTCAGAATGCATTTAAAGATATTTCTGCTGGATCGCCTGCCTGCTGTGCCCCATTAAGCATTAAGCTACAAACAGGCCAAGAGCGAATCCGCTATAGAGTGAGCTGTCCAATCAATCAATCCTCAAACACAACTCGCTTTCCAAACAGCAACGGACCTTGAGAAGAGCTAAAATTTCACCTCCTGCTTTTGTTAATGAATCCGTGGTTTCATTATATCAAAACAAGAGCCAGTTCACATGTGACATCATCCTACTCACTTCCATCGTAATGCTTCATTTGTCAACAGTTGGAAATGCAATTGTGACCCGTCTCTGTGTGGAGTCTGCACGTCTTCTCTCCGGGTTCTCCGGCTTCCTCCCACAGTCCAAAGACTCGCTCGGGGGGGTTTGGTTACTTGGTGACTGTAATTTGCCCGTAATTTTTTTTGACCCATGCTGTGGAGAACATCAACACTGGGGCAGCCTGGCACTGGCATCCCAATTGGTATCCTAAGGGTTTAACAGGCCAGTGTGTATGAACATGTACGCATTTGTGCGTCTTAATACACACATTCATCCTGCATTTGTGGTTGTGTTAATTGTCGGTGTGTGAAGTCGTTTAGTAGATTGTTTCTTTTGCAGGTTTCTTTTTTTACGAGATGGTCTGTTTGCTGCAGCGACAGACAGCTTTTGTTACTGCAGATTTTCCCAGATGTTTATTGCCCAATTACCCTCCAATCACATGCTTGGCCAGACCCAGTAACAGGGTAACGTAATGGGCCAACACTGGGTCCGTAAATCTGCAATCACACACTGACGTTCCCATTTCCTCCTGCTGAGAGCACTTTCGAGGGTGTGCACAACCACACAAAGCTAAGTGAAACACCAGAACGTTTGCACGGAGACATTTGTTGTTGTGTTCGCAAACATCTGCATTCTGGCTACGAGGAAAAGAAGCTTGATTATCCTTATTTTATGGAACGATTGTATGAAGCGTTACCCGGATACGTCGCGGCTCCCTTTAATGAGCACTGGTGTCTAGACTGATAATGAGCCAACGTGGGTTTTATGAATTCAATCACACAATGCGGCAGTGGTCGTTACAGACACACAAATCTGCACTTTACTAACTTTCCTTACTGACACTTATTTCCTAAAAACAAGGGTTCAGGTAGTTGATGCTAAACTTAACATTCTTTCCTTTGTATGTATAAAATGAAGGACAATCACGTAAACAAACAGAAATACTAAGTGAAAGCAGACATGGAGAATAAAGCCGGTCTATTTAACACTTGAATTGAATACCATACAGTCTTGTTGCAGGTGTATAGTCCGCATATTGTTTGTTCAATGTTAAATAGAACGTGTTTGTTTGCCGTCTCTGTTTGCATCACTTGAGCCGTTAAAAACACAAAATAAAATCCCTCCCACCCCTCTGAAACAAATTATTATGAACAAATTAAGAATACAAAACCCAGTCAGGGACCACCTCCGGTACGTTAGAAAACAAATATTTTAATGCTGTTAAATTGCATACAAGTACATAGCATGCATGGTAGAAAGACACTTAAATAAAAACATAAATATGCATTTAAATTAGGCTCTGTCAGAAACCCCACAACCAGCACAACTTTACAGTTCAACACAACGACAGATCTCCAAGTTAATATATCAAAGGATCCAAACCTTTTAGCCTAAATTCTACATTGAGCATATTGTTGACTGCATGTGCAGTAAGATTTCTGCAGCAAAACAGAGTTCTTGTTGAAGCTTTGAAATTGTTTTGTTGGACTTCTGAATTTATATGAAATACACTTTTGACTGCTGATTAAACTTTAAAAGTATTGACAAACTTCACTGAACTAGCCAGAGAGAGAGAGATGGCCCACAACAACTTGCTTTATACAACTATACCAACACTGCATTTCAATGTGAGCTTTGAACATTCAAAAATAAATGTAATAATTTCCAAAAAAAAGCACAGATTACTGATGTCTTTCTGATGTTACATTTTTGTTAAGTCTCAAAACAATGTCCAGCTAATAAAGGGTCAGTTTTTCGGTTCCATAATGACAATTGCTGTAAGATGGAAACATTTTTACACAATTTTACACACTTTACAATCATAGTTATAGTAGTTATATATAACAGTTTCATGGGACATTACAGAGAAGAATAGGAACAGAAACCAAATATCATCTTCAGGAGCAGAACAGACAAAGTAATCATGGAGCCATTTGCAATACAAAACTACAATATATAACTAAGTGATTATTTTAAAGTTAAAACAATTCTTTAAAGTCTGTTTTTCCACATCCATTCCCTTCTCCTGTGACACATCCACACTCTTATCATTTTCTTGAAATTAGAAATTAGAAGCAATATTTGTGAAGAAAACACCATTAGTTGTGTCTAATAACCAGTCTGCTTCTCCTCGAACCAAGAAAATAAACCCCAATGCGTTCTGGGCTGTAATTACTGAGGAAAAACATATCAGCATTTGAAATGCTCTCTGCATACTGATGAATTGTAGGAATATGATAAATTATTATGATTTTCATAAGTTGCAAATACAGCCTTTTACAAGATGCTTATAGTACCTTATTTTTTTTTTTTACAAAATCTCCCTCTCCTTCCTTCTCCTCATGTTCAGTCCTTTTCTCTTTTTGTTGTCCTTTAGACATTCACACGCCATGAAGGTTACAATAAGTTCAACAAGTTCACTGGTGCTAATGTTGTTTCCTGGCTACTTTTAAACAAGGAAAGGGCTTCTAGAAGATCAATACCATCTTCCATATGTACAAATATTGGATGGATCGCACCCTACGGCGGCCATATTGGAGGTCCTCCTTAGCAACAGGCTGTTTGTGCTCCTGACTGTTTGTAGCACTTCAAATGAATCGGCCACTTGAGATTTCCCCACATGACCAGCTTCATTTAACTGAATCCATTACAAATGTAGATAATATCTTTAAAAAGTTCAATATGAAATCATATCAAGCAACTTTCTACTCTTTCTACTATAGACACATCTTTGTGATGTTTGTTTGTTGTTTGTTTATTAGGTACACAATGTAACCCATCATTTGCACAGTTCTCCTCTTGACCTCCAAAGAAGCCAGAGGTCACCAGTCTAGTGATTCAAGTCCAAATGTCTTGTCATTTTTACATATGGAATACGGTTTAAAGCAATACTTACAACTACTTTGAGTCTGAAAATATATTCACAATTGTTTAGTCTTCTTCACTCTATGATTGTTTTTACTAATTAAACAATGTTACCAAAGCTCCAAAATGTCCAGATGCCATCCACACACACACACGGTACTTCAACCGTTTGTCCGCCTGCCTTACTGACTTACAGCTCACCTAAATAAAGTGTTTTCTTTCTCCGTCCAGTCCTTTCCATCTTTGCTTTGTCATTAATGAATTCAACCCTCCATTTTGATGGTTTTCAGTAGAAAGAAAACCACCTTTTGAATTCAGTCGCCATGAAGGTTATACAACTAAAGTGAAGACAATCAAATGTGGATTACCATGTGTTCACACCATGAACCGTCATAAAACCAGTGTTTACAAAGCAGAAAGCACCAGAGGAATTGGCCTTTTCAGCTAAACCCTCCTACAGGAACTGTGGGAATATGAGTCGTGTGGGTGATTGAAGGTGAGGCTATAACATATATATATATATATATATATATATATATATATATATATATATATATATATATATATAACACAGAGGTCAGGTTATGTGGTTTATCCTTTAACAGATGATTCTCGAGTATTCTATTGCTTAGACAAAATTATCAATCAACTATTTGAAAATAATTATAACTTGGAGGCTGTTAAAGTCTCACAGACAACAGAGCTGAGTTACAGACACTTTCCCATGGAAGCAAATATTGGCAATTGAGTAGAGCCATTAGGTACATTCCAGGAAGGGTTGTTACGGTACGAGCCCAAAAGCATCGAGAGTAAGCCACTGTGAAATACCCTTTTATGGGTCGGTGAGGGGGAATCTTGATCTGTAGCTGGCGCTAATGGAACGTTCTACCCACAGCAGTAACAATAAAGCAATACGCCTTTAATCTGTTGAACCATCAACAGTCGTCTCATGGTAGCTTGCAGCTGGAGCTGTTTGAGCTCATGCATTCAGTGTAACGGGTGAGTGAACTTTCAGTTCATGTAAGAGGGTGTCTTTGTGTGTGTGTGTGTGTGTGTGTGTGTGTGTGTGTGTGTGTGTGTGTGTGTGTGTGTGTGTGTGCATGAACAATGGCAGGGTCAGGTTCGATTAGCAGTGTCTTATTTCCACTGCATGTTTTGGGCATGCACACGGTGTCCCCTCAGTGTGAGCTGGTCCTCATAGAGGCAAAGCGTAACACTGCTATCACCTTTACGCGCTGCTCACTCCGTCCAGCTCACGCTGGTTTTATCAACAGACCAAACAGGGTAACTTCCGGACAAAATGGTTTTTGCGGGCTGCCGTTTGAAAAGAAAGTGATTTTGGCTGCTAATGAAATCAGCGACTCCAAATGAAAGTATCAGCTCAGCTCGCTTGAAACTTTAAACAGGGCGGCGTCAAAACTAGAACCGTTGACTGCAGAGATGTAACATGTTTATCAATGAGACAAACTAAACTTTTGTTGATCTGAATCCACAAGAAGGTGGGAACAACCTGGACGCAATGCGCCACAACCGTTGCATAAAAAGCAAGTGGTGTTTTCCCCAACTTTTGCAATTGGAAAACGTCAAATTAATGGTTGAAAGGCAGATGAGTGGAGCCGTGCCGAACGCGTGGAAACGCGTCTCAGCCCGGTTGCATTACTTGCATAAATACAGTACAAACTCAGTTATGTCTGGAGCTTGAGTCACACAGGAATAATTCATTCTAAAGACAGAGCGAGGCGAGAAACATGGAGCACTAAATATTAAGTGAGAATGAGAGGAATCCAGTGATTGCGTCGTCTGAAATGTGACCAAATCAATGGAAGGTAAGTGAATGTGTCAATGTGTGTCGGACCAACACGTGAACACACAGACAAAACACAGATTTCATCAAAGAGTCAGTCCACAGGCACGTGTACCTTTAGTAGATCTGACTCGATGACATCAAAACACCGTCTTAACCCTTTTCAACTGTAAAAGTATAAAAGGGCAAAAGTGTGTGAGGGAAGGAGGGAAGGAGGAGTCCTCGGGACTCAAGACTTTAAAACATCCCCAGAGTGCACTTGAAAGATTGTCCCTCTTTATACCAACGACCTGTTCCGTTCAGTAGCAGTTCCGCCTCTTTCTCGGCCACATGTGTATTTTTGGGCCGTATCCCGAGCCACCTGATCTACACGTATATCGATTTCCTGTTTAATGGCCGAAGCGGACGCTCTGTTGGGATCTACCTCCTTCTTTCAAACCCAGGTGGCAAAGCTCCCACTGTTATGCGTTGAAGCCAGCCTCCCTTTTTTGCTGCCTCATTCGTTTTGTCCTGTTGTGTAATCTTTGTCCCCCCCCCCCCCCCGCCCTCCTCCACCTGCCTTCCCTTCATTACTCCTCCCACGCGCTGACATCTCTCGGCGTCCGGTTGCGTTCGCCGGAGCTCCTGCTTCGTGCCTTCCTGGCGCTCTCCTGCGCTTGGCGGTATTTCTCCGACATGCTCTTGTGTTTCCTCCTCAGCTTGTCGTTGCACCACATCCTCTCGCAGTACTCCTCCACGTGCGGCAGGTTCGACGACCCAATCAGCTGCATGATGTCCTTGAACCAGGTCCGCGATTGGCCGATTTGGCCCGGCGAGCCGCCCCTGCTGAACGCGCTGCAGGGCATCCAGGCTCTGAAGCCCCCAGCGGACCGGTCCTTGAAGGACGAATCGGAGAGGCCGGTGCCGTCGCGGGCCATGAGCTCGTCCACAGTGTCCCCCTGGAGGACTTCCAGGCTGAGGCGGGCCAGCGTCTGTGTGAAGCCGTGCTCTCGAGAGCGGCAGACGTACGTGCCTTCGTCCTGGCGGGAGAGTCGACGGAACAGGAGGCCTTGCTCCGTGGACATCACGCGTTCGTCCAGCTTCACCTGAGCAAGCCAGAGGGAGAATTTATACTCACAATCACATTTGCTTTTGTAGTGTAAAATTCCTTTAGTTAAGTGGATGAACATAGAAATATGTATGCGACTTCTTTTAAATTATTCTGATGATGGATGATAGTTCTTTGTGTGTGGATTCATTCTTGTGAAATCTAATTATTGTTTGATAGAGCATATAGTTGACTACATAGACTAAACGGGTGAACTCTGAGTCTTGTGCCGTTTTCTCAGTTTGAAAAGAACCTGCAAACATATACCATAAAATCTGTCAATATTTCTGCTATTTTATTTCCTCAGAGTCTGTCTCTTGCTTTTCTTACCCCACCCAAGTCTGTCATGTATTTATTTATACTGTCTCTTATATTTTCACCTCTTACCCCCCCTCTTCAGATTCCATTCCTCCGCTTGTTGAACTGTGCCAACATAAACATGGCAGCCTTGTCAGCTGGAGTGGCAGCCAAATGTTTATTTGCACAGAATGGAGGAGAGTGGTAATGCCTTTATACTTGCATGGTTGACCGAGGGTCCGGGTTAAGCTTGAAAAACACGGCCTAAAACAAATGAATGATGACTGTGGGCGTGGGCCCCCCGGCAACATTTTCTCGGCGGCGCTTTAGCGCGCGCATGCCGTTGCCTCGCTGTGTTTAGTCACAGTGGCAGATGGACACTGAGTAACAACCTCAGCTTTTAATGTATGTGCTCCGGTTTTACATTCTCTGTTTGTCCAACACAAAGAGTGATTGTGCACTTTCCTTTGAAACACAAGTTTTGTCAACCGCGTGTCAAATGGCTGTTAAATGTGTCAAGCAGGCGCCAAATTCAAACGCCAATCTCAAGCACTGTGGCCGTGGCTGGCCGCTGTCTCCCAGAGCTTCCCTCCTCCCCCAATGACATACTGACATATATTAGGATGCGGTATTTTATTACCACAATCCTGATTGATAAACCTGATGGCTCTCTGCTTATCATCTTACCTCCTCCCTGCGGTCCTCTCGTTGGATGAGCCAGGTAACCGTAGCTTGTGGCGAGCGAGGGACACACTCCAGGAAGGTGCTGTTGTTCTCGGTCCCATACACCACCCTGTCTTCTGTCACATCGATGTCTTCTGGGGGACAGAGGGGTTATTTATTTAAGGAAGAAAGACGTAAAGGAAGGATGTAGAAGGAGTTCGATCCTCTCCACAGACTCCTGCTGTATGGTTAACATGCACCCACCAACTATAAAATATAAAATGTGTCCATGTTACCTCACTTTTCCACTTCGGATTATTATTATTTTTGCATAACAAGTAAAGAAACAGAATAAGTCCCACGTACCGCTCAGATTCTGATCCACACACTGCAGCGCGGGGTTTCCGTGCTTGATGTCCTGTCTGCGGTAGCGGCGCTTGCTGTTGGGCGTGTACCTGGCGCACAGTGACCCGTCCCAGGCGCAGTACGGGTCTCGGGCCAGGCAGCACTCGGCGCAGGCTTTCCCATAAGTCTCACAGCGATGCAGCTTAAGCTGGGCCACGCCGGCCGGAGAGCCCACGTACAGCGCTTGCTGTTTGGAAAGGCGATGGACGGAGAAAAACAGGCGTAGGACAAGATGTTGGCAACAAAAGGATCGCAGGCGTGAGCTTTGACTGAGTAATAGCCGTCATATTAACGTACCCTTTTTACAGATATGTCCATCGAGGTGATTGGAGTTGGGACCTGCAATAATGAAAATGAGTCAGTTATTAAAAGGTTTACAAAGCAAAATGATAATGTGATGAGGTTTTCTTTCAGGACATGTGGTTCCTTATCTGTTAACCACAAAGAGATTTTAGAGACTTAGTGGAAGAAATATGATGAGTTGGCTGCAATATGGCTTAAAAAATATTATTTTGGGATCATTTAAAAGAGACCTGATAAATCTGAGTAAAACTTACTTTGAAGACTTGTAGCTCCTCCAGCGTGACCTCCTCTGTGTCCAGGCTGTTTCCACTGTGCAAGGCTATGACCTTCAATACTGTGCCAACATCTGAAACACACAAACGCACACGCCACAAAGTTACAGGACAGAAACGCAGAATTTCACGTTACCACACATGATTCTCTGACACAACAATCCAGGTTCACCGCCGGGCTTCATTTAGCTCACATCACCTGTGCCGATGAACATGACGTCATACTGCCCGTCCTCGGCCTCCACCCGGTCCACCACGATTTGTTTCAGCTTGTAAGGAATGTTCGCCTTGACCAGCACAGGCTGGCGCAGAGCGGGAAACACCGGCCGCCACATCAGCGGGTGGCTGCGGGCGAACTGCAGCACTGCGTCGGGGAAGTCCTTCGTGCTGCCGAACTCTCTGCCCGGCTGGTTGGTGATTTTACTCGGGCACTGGGGAGAGATGTGGCGAGCGGAGGGAAAGGGGTGAAAGGTTATTAAACAGGTCTGGAAGCATAGTGGTAAAAGGCTCGGCTGGCTAAATGCGGATGCTGCGCTGGAGGAGAAGCCTCGTCAGCAGTTTTATGGCGCCTGAAAAGTTTAGGTGAAAGTTCAAAACCGCAGTTGTAAAGCCAGGTGTTTGGAAACAGCTGTGTGGATGCAGAGTTTGTGGCTGGTTAAAAGTTTTCCCACTTGTGTTACTGTAGTAATGAGAAGATGAATGTGATAGTACTTGGCTGAGCTACTGTGCACTACTTTATTAAACGTATCCTATAATACATACAGCTTTTTCCTGGACTTTTACCTAAAAAAACAACTAAAAAAGCTTTTGGGATTGTATTGTACTCGTTGGAAATATAACAGTGAGATACGGTTTGCTGCTCTGTGACACGTAATAGCGTCACTGAAGCTTTAAAATACATTTATAAAACAACAGTATCTTAAATGGGGAAGTTGAGGTGACGGATAGATACTTTCCACTGCAGACATCTAACACAGCAGCTGTGAATGCCTAAAATGGAAGCATGTGCCAAAGTCATGAGCTGACAATTGTCCTAAATTTTCACTTAGAGATCAACGAGAGTTTAGACAGCAGTTTGTCATGTGACTACTCGGCATTTGTACAATATTGCTATTCCAGCCTCTGCTTCCACATGGTAGAAATCTTCTCACTCCTCTAAATCACAACAGTCCACACAATAGCTCTTTAATGGTCTGGCTTCAATTTCTATTTCGGGGAGGGGGTCTAAACTGCTCAGGAACATTAGACTGAACCTGCACAAACTGGTGGTGTATGATAGAACACTCTTCTCAGGATGGTTTACTTAATGGCTCCGATTACAATTTATTCCAGAAGGTGTGGAATGTGTAACCAAATCACAGTTCATTACCCAACTACAAGTGCTTCCTTACAATGTACATCTACAGCCGAACCTTCCTTGCTTGAGCTGTGATGTTTAATTAAGCTGTAAGATATTTGTCAAAATCATTTTCATTTCTTCACTGTTCTGTTTTCAATTTGAAACTGAGAGTCAAGTACGATTAATGACGGGGAAAGAGGATGTGAGCATGTTAGGAACACTTCTATTCATGTCTATTATACAGTAAATGTATGTAAATGTGTTTGAGAGTGTGAAGCACAGTGTACATTGTGTAAGTCATTTTTTATTGCATTAAAATACAATTATTCCATTATAAAAATGTACCCAGTAAAGGAAAGCTATTTGCTGATGTTAAAATCCTGGGAAATTTCGTTCTTCATTTTTACAGGAACCCCTAGGCGTGCGTTTGCTCCATTGCAATTGTTCTATGTTGAAAACTAATAACTGGAATTAAGAGCATGTATTGTATGTATTGTAATTTCCCATCTCAAACCAAAGATGTCAGTTATATATATATATATATATATATATATATATATATATAAATACCATATGTACATATACTATACATATATTATGAAAGAAATCAGAAAGCAGTCCAAGAGAAACACCCAGAAGTCACATGGATCATGAAAGATAATGGAAGGGACTTAATTCTTTGCCATTTAAGTATCAAACATGAAGCTTTCATGATGAAAATCTATTTGGATGGAAGGTGGGAATAAAGCTTTGATGAATGTGCAGTCTAGGACATCCCATCATTTCTTCTATTACAGAACGCAGTGATTCAACCCAAGATAAACACCTTGGGAGGATAAAGCCCCTTATTCTCTCTCACCAATGCAGAGAAGGTTTTGACAGGTGAGGAAGACGACATGAGGGCTTTTACAGTGTAACGTTTCAATGAAACAGAAGTTCATGTTCAGTCTGGATCCAGTGAGACAACTGCCATGTCGCAGTAGAATATCTTATAAAACGTGTGACTATTTTCCCTTTACTTCACCCAGATAAGACAATACAGTTTTTTGTTTTATCATAACTTTTTAAAAGAAAACCAGGTGACTATTTTAACTCAAACATGCATGAAACAAAGCAAGCCATTCAGTTTACGGGAGTCTAGCTTCCCCCTCTTCTCTCCTTACTATCTGTGCCTCCTCTTCTGCCTCCATCCCAAGTAATCACATGCTCCCTGTTTCCTTTCCCTTTTCTTTCTGTCTTACACTCTCAGTTCCGGGCCGAGACGTTCCTGTTAATCCGAGACTGAAGCGAAGCGAAACCGGCGAGGTGTCTTTTCTGTTCTCACATCATTGATATTCCTTCTGCCTCCATGTGCCTCCTGCACTGTGCTAATGAGGCTTAATTACAAGTGTGTGCGCGCGTGTGTGTGTGTGTGTGTGGGTGTGTGCGTGTTGCCCTATCGGGCGTGCGTTAAGAACAGGACTGAAGTGCAGTGTTGTGGTTGGGGGAGCGTGACAGAGCTCCGCTGGGAGGCCGGAGGTGAACCAGGAGGAGGCTCAGTGCGACGTGCGCTGACACATGCAGCGAGAAACTTTTCTACAAAGCCAACACTCCTCCTGAGATGTACATTCATACACAATTATATTACGCTAGCTAAATATAAAACTTGGAAAACAAAGTTAGTGACAGTTTTAACGTTCATTCTTGTTGGAAGGATCCTTTGTTCACTTTTTAAGGTGGAGGTTTTCAATGTTTATTATTTATTTAGATCCAATATCCAATATGTTTAGAGTAAAGTCAGTGTTGGGCAAAGAGTAATAATCCCAGTTGATTTGGGTGTGGAGGTGCAGTGGTTTCACTCACCACGCCTGGTCTCGGATAGGGGACCCTGCCCTCGTAGGCCCCCCACTGGTAGTCGGGGCCCTCCTTGTGAGCGAAGGGTCCGTTGAAGGCTTCTCTGATGTCAGCCATGCGGTAAACGCACACGGCAAAACCCTGGAACACATTACTGTGGAGGCGAGAGGGGGGAACATTAACACAAATGATTGTATTATGTGTGCGACTACGGACACGGGAAGATTAAATTACATTTCAAGGAAACATGAACTTGAAAGAAAGAATGAACTCACACCGGCTTATAATCAGGCACCTCTGACGGGTGATGCTACGGTAACTCTACAGTGATGTACTGATGTACTCAAACTTACTTTGAATATATTAAATGACTTGAGCTGGAGCTTCTCTAAAGCCAGGACACACATTTGAAAATCCACTGAGTGCTTTGGACCTTGCTGGAGGAGCTCCATGGTAGATAATATCACGGTAAAATAAGGCAGCATATTGTATTTGTAGGAAAAACATGAAACTTTGTGATTATTCACCTGATGGTGCTGAAGATTGCATAGACGTCTGGGTTCCTCTCGTCCTTGGTCCTCAGCAGGAAAACATCCTCTGTTTGATTTTTTGTTTTAAAAGGCCATTTAGTGTGTGTGTTGGATAGTGAAGGCTGAGAGTAAAGTGCGCGTTGTGTGTCTCACCGAGTTGGTTGAAGTGCGTGTCGATGCCGTGAGGTCCGGGTACAGAGCAGACCAGCCTGGCCTTGATGAACGTGCTCCATTTGTTCACCAGAACTCTCTGGCCTCCGACATCATTCTGGCAAAAAATGACACGAAGCAAAATCTATAAAATGCAGCTGCTTATTTATTTCCAAAAAGATTTTTTGGGGGGAAATTTCACGCGCGTTTCCAAATCGTTTCCAGTGACGGCTTCTCCGATGGTGTTTTATAACGAGCCATCTGGGGGTGTCAGGTTAGGAAACACTACAACATGTGTGGGACGGGGAGGGAAGCAGAGACCGGTGGGGAGAAAGAGGAGTAAGAGAGGTGCACAAACAGCCTATAAGGAAATACGCAGCTGGCTACATGTGTGTATTCGCGTGTATTCTTCTATGCATATTTTGTGGATGGTTCATGCGGCACACATGTTTTTTGTTTTTTTTCCAAGACAAATCAATGCGTGAAAGGATTTGACAGAGCAGATGTGGATTACAGATGGCAGATTCGACAGCTGTGTGGGGTTTGGGAAAGAAAAAAAACATTCTTATGATGCCGAATAACACGATGCCTTCACAGTCGGTTTTGGGACTCGATATTTGCCTTTTCCACGAGAGGGTTTGGAACTCATAAAACGATTACCTCATGTCCTTGGAAGCAGACATTTAAATGGGACCGTGTAGGAAAGGCTGTGGTGTCATCTAACTTTTGGTGGACTGTGGGAATGTGAACATGTTCCTTAGCCTGAGAGGCTCAAAATGTAACGTCCCAAAGGTGTCTTCAGAGAACAATAACGCCCCATTGGACTTGAACGTCTCCTTCTGAAACAAATCTCTCGTTCCTGGAGGTGCAAACATCTGTGTCCTACTAGACTCTTTAAATGAACCTGAGTAAGTGGGGTAATAACCTTCTGATTAGTTGCCTGCATTAATTAATTATGAGCAGTTTATAAAGTGACTCACCGCGCAGACTCGTCCGACGCGTGTGTGCATGGCCCCCTCCCGGTCCCCGGGCTCCGTGGCCTTCTCCGTGAAGAAGAAGTACACTTTGTCGTTGTCTCTGTCGTCGTTGTCTGGGACGAGGTGGGCGGCGATGAACTTTGGGTCTGCAGAGGAGAGATGGTGGTGAGTTTAAAAAGACCCAATATGATAAAAATAATACCGCGGTGCAACAGGCTGATAAAGGAGTCCAACGTCACCATGTAGAAGTTTGTGGTCCGTCTCTGTTCTCATGGTGGAGCGGCCTCCCATGCTCCTGAAGATCACAGAGTCCCTCCCCAGGAAATCCGCCGTCAGTCCTGTATACAGCTCCCCACCTAGAGACGGGCGAGACGGAGGAGGTGGGAGTTTAAGAGTGAGGAAAAGAACCGATGCAACAGGAAAGAGGGTAAAAGGTGGAAGGGAATAGAGAGAAAGGAGAGAGGAAGGAGCAGATGTGAAGACACGGCAGCAGAGATGGGAAAGAGATGAGCTGAAAACATTTGGAAATCATGGGTGACAGAAAGTAGAAAAGTAGCAGTCGAGCAAATGAGGAACGGAGGGAAAGAGGAAATATAAACAGTGCAATTTACTGCAGAAAACAAAACCCTGAAATACACTTTTTGGAGATGAATTTCCTTCCCAGCACCGTGAGAAAAGGGAATCTGACAAAAGACAGTGATCTCATGGGGTGAATGTGTCCTTATCTCATTTGGCTGCAATCAAAGTATTAGAAACACAAACAAATTCTTTACCTTACGGACCCAAACACACAGTAAATGGGGCCAGTTGAGCTTTGTGTATTTTGGGAGACTACCCTGGAATTGAGGAGAGGGGAGACTTCATTGCCTTGACAGAAGGGGAATAGGACTGTTTTGTTCAGCATCGCTTCTCTTGTTCGTCATCACCGTCGGTCGGGTTCTGTTTGTGAGTACTTGTGTGCCTGAATGTATGTGTACGCTATCTCTTGCCCCTATATTTCTTTCTTATTTTACAGATTAGTTTCGAGGCTGAAGTACTTAACATCAGAGGAATTATACAAATGGGAGTGCTGCTCAGGCCAATAGGAGCAGTTTCGTTTCGACAAACCATCGATCTCTGATGAGAGAAATCCATAGAGAGGTCAGTGGTCACGGCCTCTTTCCAGGATTCAAAATCTGTCTTCATATGTCAGTCTTTCTAAATTTGACTGTTTAAGGGCTAATGACACTCCTCAACAGCTTTGTGTGCATTGCTCTATATCTAAGTTTCAACGTTGGCTCCCGCTGAAGTCCGAACGATTCAGTTCTTGGCTGTAATTGAATGAGTTCCTGCCAAATACAATGTTTTATGGGATAAATGATGATGCTCAAAGCACCCAAAGCAGCTGCACAGAGAGGGGAGAGGCCGCTCCACACAGACCGCTCGCCTCGGTGGCTCCCAAGATTGTCTGTCGGCGTTATAAATCAGCGTTTTTTTGCAGATTAAATGTCTAATGACATACAGAGAGACTCTCCCAGAACTGTTTAACCTATTCAGTGCGAGAGTGTGTGCGTGTATGGTGTCAGAGCCAAGTGAGGTTGTGGTAGGTGTTCTTTACGTGTCGATAACTTGAAAACGAAGCAAAGATCTGCTCAGAGCAGAAAAAACCCGTACATTTTGTGTTTTTATTCTAAAAAGCTGTGATGTGGAAGATAAAGAATTCCAATTAACAAAAAGTCCATTGCCATTATCACATTGGGTCAACTTGTGAAATTTGTATTCAGTCAATATCTTTAACAGGTGATAAGAGATTATAAATGCAATGCTGATGCCTCTATGACCACTAAACAAGAGCTTCAAAGAAAAATATTGGTTCATCAATATTGGTTAATTGGTTAAAAACAATATCTGTTTTCTCTGCAGCCCATAAGGACGAGTATTCCTCTGGTTGATTCTCTACATACATTTTGACAGTCGGTGATGATGAGACGAGGAGGGCGAGCGGTAGGACTACGAGTATCGGCCAAATTACCTCTGGAAAGTGTATTATTACGCATTTTAGCTCTATAAACCAACTGGGGATTTCCGCTTTCATAATTAGAGACATTCTAACACAGGACTTACCACTGAAGGTGCTAGCGAATGGGAGGCTGGGGTCATGTGGCACTTTGCCTCTTCCGTTCTCCACATTTGTAGGATCTATGGTGAACACATGCTGAGGGAGAAAATAAACACAGGGACGATTCTAAGTTAGTCCAATAATTCCTGCATGTGGTTCGTCAGGTGAAATGCATCAAAAACTGTTCTCTGTTTCACATTTATTTGCCCTTCCACTGAACTCTGCTCTGAGAACTAGGACACAGTCTGAGGGACGAGGAAATGCAGCATCACGGTTGCCAGAATCACAAAGAGTTTCCCACATGGTTCCGAGTGCAGATCGACCCAGAGAGCTGAACTCCACATCAATATGGTAATAATGGAAAGCAGACTACAAATACAACCCAAGCTTCATCAACAAAAAAACACGCGCAGACACAATTCATGACTTTTATGTTCCTAGAACTCACTCAACATACTGTGCAGTAAGTGAAGACAACAGGTCTTAATGACATGGACAGTTGTTTTCACTCGTTCGTGACTATTTGACAGAAGCAAAGACGTTTTTATCTGCTGCCCCTTTTTAGGTTTTGTTGAGCGTCATTTATTTAAATGTTTCTTCATGTTGGATATGAAGTGATGTGATTCATGTGTTCACCAGCGGCAAACTGAAGAATACAAAAGTTGAATTGGCTTTTTTGTTCAAAAATGCAAATACCTAAAGAAGGTGCCAACGGTAAAGTTCATGGAAATACCTTCATGGATCTCCTCCAAACATCAAACTACAGTAAAACCATCATTTTCCTCCGACTCCATCCGTGAAGACATAAGGAAGACATTAAAAACAATAGAGTGGTTCCTCCTTTGTCCTCCACCGGTCAGTAGAGTTCACCTGACGGACACCGGCCACATCCTTGGATTGTTTGATTTGCCAGTTCAAAACAGGGTCACTGTGGACAAAAGACATTTTGTTCCTCGGGCCTTTCTTCTCCCACTTCAACGTCGCCAGTGCGCCGGCCTGCTGGGTCCGATGAGTCCCACCGATGTCGACTTTCGTAAATCACAATGGGAATGCAAGGCGGCGCGTCTACAGCGAGACGTCCTGTTTGATTCCACGTTAATGATTTAAGTGTCCTCACAGCGAACCCTCTTACGCACAATGGAGCATTGTTCCTGCGAGAATGAGTCTTCAACTGAGCAGAGATCACAGGGGAGATGATGACATTCAAGGGAAGAATATTGTTGTGTATCACAGCGAACAATACGCACACCCTGTTCTGTATGTGCATCCACACACACACACACACACACACACAAACCTGCACGTGGTCAGCAACACGGACACGGCAGATTCATACCGTCGGACGCACAAAATAAGGTTGTAGTTGCACTGGTTCATCCAACCGGTCTCAAGAAATATGGTGAGGCAGTTTATTTCTTGTTTGATCCACATGCAGCTTTTTTAATGACCGTTTTAATGATTTCAATGAGGTTTAAAATGTGTCAATGTCCACAAACACACACAAACACACACACACACACACCACTGAGACACACTTTTTTGTTTTGTTGAGGAATATTTACGTTTACATCAATGTGAGGAGTGAAGATTGCAGTCATTTTCACTTTCCTTTGTATGTATTCATTTATTTCTTAAGTTGGACGACATGTTCTTCTTTCTTTCAAAAGTGTAAGCGAAGAGAAACTATATTTACTGAATAAATTACAGCGGAGCCGAATAGGATTCCTTTTGTGCCAATGTGATGTTTTTATAATCATACACACACACACACACACACACACACACACACACACTGAGCCTTTTCTTTCTTTCTTCCATCTATTTCAACCCTATTTTCATGCTTCCCTTTCATGCTCTGTGTGCCATTCTCTGTCGAGGTCTTTTAGTTCACTCGTTAGTCATCCATAATCTTTCGCCACTTCTTCGCTCATTTGTTGCTGCAGTCACAAAGTCGCCGTGTGCCTCATCAGAGTGTGTGTGTGCGTGTGCGTACGTGTGTGTGTGTGTGTGTGCATGTGATGTGTGTGTGTGTGCGTGCTTGTGCACTTGTGTGCCCACTTTTCCACTGTGCACTAGTGTGTCTCATACATGCAGTCTGGGGTTTATGTGTGTGTTATCACGTTTAGATCCTGAGGAATGGCGTGGCTGCCTTTGCAGCTGATTAGACTGTCAGATTCACTTTGGCCAAACTCGGCCAAGATAAATACCAAGTGCTTCAACACACAGAGAGAGAGACAGAAGACATCCAGAACACTTCGGACTCAGCTGTGCAAAGCAAAATACATCAGGGCCCCTACTACGTAACCGTGACCCTTTAGACAGGTGACTACTGACACACACACACACACACAGCTGTCACACGTGTGCATTGGTATCATTTTCAACATGTGAGAAACTGCTTTTTTCGTTAATCAGCTCCTTTGCGTTTATTATTTATATGGAATACGACCTTACAATTTACAAATCTGTATAAACAGATTTAGCGTTGTGAACAGAATGTGAGGGGACGGGATAGGACGATCGTTGTGGAAGCGTCAAAGTAGTGTTGACCAGTCATGTTCAGCAGGGTCGGATGAATGCGGCTAAGCGTTTTAGTGGAAATGTCAGAACCCCCTGCCTAACGTCTGACAGTAATTTAGATTTTTTATCGGTTTTAGAGAACACATCGCAAGTTAAAAAAAAAAAAAACTGTAAACGATGAGCAACGTGGAAAAGAAAGTGTTGGCCCGTCCACTAGCGTTATATCGGAAACGTAAAAGAGAAACAGTCCCTTTCCCAAAGAGGCTTATGGTAATCAGACCAGTAGCAGATGGTTCAAAGGTTGCCAATTTTCAAATTCAAAACCTAATCCCAGCTGTAATACGGACCCTAAATGTGTCTTAAAGTGAGATAAACACAACTACTCCTCTTACAAGTAAACAGGTCGAATTTATTTGCAATAAAATGTGCCCTAATTATGCACCCAGGAGTTTTACAGCTACAGCCTTACCAAATGTGGTATGACTATTAGCTTATTGTTTATAACTACTTCTCTCTACTTGTGCTAATGTTACAGTACATCACCACATCAGTGCTATTTGGGTGACCGTGATTGCTGCTCAGCAAAGTCATATTGTCTTATCTTAAGAAGAGGAGAGAAGAAAGGACCCTTAATGTGACAAAATGATTCTCAGCATTCAACCCGTCCCACACAGAGGGAGCAGCGAGAGGCGCCGGGGAGCCGTTAGGGGTCAAGTGTCTCGCTCACGGATGCTTCAACGCGGGACACGGGAGTAAATGAGTTAAAGGAGTAATCCAGCCTAAAACGTCAAAACAGCTGCTTTATGGTTATGGATGCTGTTCGGTAACAGTTGCAAGGAGCTTGTTTTGAGTTATTTCCAGATTCCCCTTTTTTAGTTGTGCAAAGATACAGCTACTGTAGAAAAGAATAGACAGTTATTCCCCCACTTATCGTAGCCTCAATATACTAGATGCATGGCAGCCACAAGACAAAGCTGCCTTTATACACAATACTTGACCAACCAGCTTCTTGGCTGCTGCTTCTGTCCCTCTGTCCTACTGGGTCGATCAAAGCAGACATCCACCTTTTGTTCTCATGTCTCCTGAACCAGGGCTGAGGTTTTAAAGTGAAGGATATCAGGGGTCACAGCTTTTATCTTCTTTTTTTAATTTCAAGCTTTGGAGACTGGCAGACCCCATGTGGGGTGTGTGCCATTTTCAGAGCAAAGTGTCCAAAGGGGTTTGATGTCATAAAGGTCGAGGGAGGTTATGACTCACCTCAAGCATCCCAAAGGCAACTCGGCCAACACACAGACCCCGATAGAAATGTTATACTTGGCCTTTTCCTCACTGCGCAGTCAAATAATGGCTGGGCTCCTTCGCTCACCACTCACAGCAGGCAAGGCTTGTTTTCTCTTAAAATCTTCTTTGTTCTTCTTCCTTCTCCATTGAACGAGCACAAGACAGTGTGAGACCCTGTCTCAGCTCTCGTCCTGGCTAAGAGCGATGGTAACGATAACAAAAGATTGTGTAAATGGGGCAAAGAAAAGGTAAAAGCCGTAAAATAAGTATTCATTTATCTCCAAATTGTGGGATTTAGAGCCAATGGAAACATAAAGAAATAAATACGTTGAAAATGATTTATAAGGAATTTCTTTTTGATTAGGCTTTAAATCTTTTTAGTTCTCTTTTTGATCCACCCCAAAAAATCCCATGATGTACGTTGCCAGGAAGTGAGTTTCTCTGCAAGTTCCATCCGACGGCCAAAAAGCTGCTCTGCAAAGTAAAAGGATATTTTAGTGAGAAACGGAGCACCTGAACCGCTTTAGGCCCGTCTGCTATTTGTGTGTTCGGCATTACATTTCTTTTTTCCAATCTATCACTTGTTGTAAAATAAATCTGCTTTCCTGTATATTTTTCAATCTGCGTGTCTTTCTACACATTGGCTTCTATATATTTAGGTTTATGCCTGACTGTGCATGTCTGTCATCATGTTTGTGTGTTTCTGTCACTATGTGTTTTGCTCCATTCTTTCTGTCTATGTGTGTGTGTGTGTGTTTGTAGTACCACTGTAAACTGGTGGTTTATTGTCACATGTATGACACCACGCTGGGCGCTCCAGGTTGTGTGTGTGTGTAAGAATGACATACACCCAAGAAAGATTTAAAGTTTATATTTCTGTGGATGTAATATAAACACCATGTGGTGAGAATTAACTTGAAGAAATGAAGAAATGGCTACACATTTGATGGATGCACAGCTTTTCGCAATTAACCTAATGAAATGTATTAATATTGCACAACAACTGTCCGAAATAATGCGGGTAATTCTGAAATGTTCTTCTAGATGATTTCACAAAAATATTAAAACTACTGACGCTCGTTTTCAGGATGACTGCGAGTCAATCGGGGGAAATACTAGAATATGGCTAAATGGCATTTATGTGTTTTCTTTCAATGAAAGCATGAAATAAAGATTAGCTCACACTAGAGAACAGTCCCCTCTTCATGGCATTTTTCAAAACACTGTTTGTCATGGAGGCTTCTTTTTAACTTCAACACAGCCAATGTAAAATGAGCTTAATCCACACTACATTACACTATATTATATTGGTATTATTGCTACATTCATACGTTTGTATGACCAATGGAAGGTCCGAAACACAGAAAAGCTGGAAAGAGAAAGGCAACAAGAGTTTGTTTCTGTCTGCCCTTCACTGAGATGTAACACCTAGGTTCAAAGGTCATCCCACCCAGAGTCTGGTCCGAGGGCTTCGCAGCTCCGCTTCCCTCGAGAGGTCAGACAAACAGACGGGTGTGTGTTCTCCACCAGTTAACGATTGGTTAAATAAATGGACAGGCTCCCTGCGGTGTCGTCCATTCACACACACACTCGGACTCGCTGAAAGGTCGGAGTTGTGGTCGGAGTGATGGAGGGACACACACACACACACACAAGCAGGACGTGAACTGGTGTCTTAACACCAGGCAGGACAGCTGAGATGGTCTAAGTTTTGACACACATACAGCGAACACAACCTGGGACTATATCTCTATCATAAGCACGTCCCCTGGTGTGATTTCAACAAATGCAGCAGTGTTTGGTAGAAAAGCTACACCACCACCTCCATCATGAACCAGTGAACAACAGACTGAAGGCCCTTCATTTGTAAAGAGTACGGGTTGCTTCACTCCGTGCATGTCGTTTTACTGCTGTACCCACAGACATTTGAGAATACGTTCCACCGCAAACCTAAACACTGTGAAAAGTCTGGCTTGTTTTGGGCTTTTTAGCCGAATCACTGCAGTTCATCACAAATATACACATTTTCATTGGTTGTAGTCTAACGGGTTAGTTTAACCCCATCAGGTGACGATTCATTCAGTTTAATTTCCAGGGTTTTACCAAATACCAAAGCTTGGGCAGATGCCTTCTGCACTTGATAACCAATGAAAACGGCAGCCTAGTCAGTATGGGACCTTTGTATGGTAATAAGTTTACATATTTTTAGCCAAACCATGATGTTTTTTTCAAACCCTGAGTGGTGTTGTTGCCTACACCCTCACCCCCGTCTGTATCACAGCATCAACCACATCTTACAACGCTAACAGCAACCGTTCAACAACAATAACCAACTGCAGACCTGCAGCCTCAACAACAGTAACCCTGGAAAACCCACCTTTCAAAACACGGCAACTCTGTCCTTCACTTACTGACGTGCGCCGTTTTTCATCATGTGCAATAAAGCCGTGCAAAAACCACACAGGATGACAGATTGAGAGGGAGACAGAGAATCACAACAAAGAGAACGCACACACTGCGACAAGCAACTACATCTGCGAGAAGTAAAAAAAAAAAGGCTCCTTCTGTGATTTATGTGCACACGGCGTCCACTACAAACACTCTCCTCACAAAACCGTTGGCAGTCTCCCACCCCAATGTCTCACTTCCCTTTCCTGAGCTTTATAGCAATATTCAGATTTCCTCTCGCTCCTCGTGTCCAGGTTAACCCCCCCGTCCCCCCGCTGGGCAGGGCGGTACACTGGGCTGCGATCTGGACCAGTGGATTACGACTCTGCCTTAATGGCTCCTTTCATTGACTATTGTCTTTCAAACGCCTTCGAGAGGGCGCCTCAGCAGATGGGGCCCTCAGCAGAGCGGGCCTCCACAGAGAGGCCCCCCCGGAGCCACGCGGCTGTGTGGGGAGCCGTCCTGCGCGGTTGAAAAGACGCGTAAGGGGGACCCAACACTAAGTAGCCCTGCAGAAAGCCTCATGGCAGAGCCGCCGGCTGAGGCTTAACCTTGAACCCCGGGGATCTGAGCCCAGAGCAGGGCCAGTCGGAGTTGGGTTTTGGCACCAACCATATTGGTTCCATTACCCTGGTTTCCTGCACAGGATTGCTTAAAGCCCCCCTGCTGATTCCCTTAACATATCAAACGTACAGCACTTCAAATGTGTTATGATACAGTGGCATCCTGTCTTTATCCTGCAATAATAATGCAGACATTTCTTCCTGACTTGTTCGTACTGTGAACAAGTTAAACAGGCATTCCTTGGAAATTTAAAAAAAATAAACTTTTATGTTAGTATAAATAGTCGTCACCAACTTGCAACAGCACTTGCTAAGGAGTGAAACTCAGGTTGCAGTCAGTTGATGTCAATGTAAACTTCACAGTCCAAATGGAGCAGGCTCTTTAAAAGCTACACAGATCGTAGAACGTTTCACTCACACTTCCCAAACATTTCCTTTTGCAAATGGTAAGGGGAGCCGCAGTAAGTCAGCATGCGCACAATAAAATAAAGGGCTTCAACTCAACTGTTATACTTGTAAATCACATCGTTTTTCTCTAAAACCACAACTGGAAAACAGTTTTGTTTCATGCATTTCTCTGTTTGTGTGTGTGTGTGTGTGTGTGTGTGTGTTTCTTTATGCATGACTAATGTACAGAGACCGTTCCCCTTCCCATGATATTTTGTGGGCTCTCTCACCTCTCCTCTGTGCCCCACGTAGACGAAGGCACACATGGGCTGGAAGGCTCCGGTGCCACAGGCCAGTATGTGGGTGCGGTTGTAGGGCTGCAGGAGACGGACAAAGTTGGCACACTCCGTCTGCAAAACACAAACACGCAGAAAATCAAATTTTGCATCACAAATTAGGTGGAAAGGGTCAAATGTATGTTAAATCAAATAACAAGATAAACCAAAGTTGATTGTTGACTCTATTAAAATATACTTGTTTGCACCTCAGCTCATAAACTTTGTTTGTTACCCACCACTATTTAACTACTGCACATGTGCCACTCGCAGCAGAGACGAGAAGAAAGAGAGTTGACTCAGTAAACGTGAGTAAACGATGATTTACCAGAGTTACTTTAACTATCCTTCCACATAGATGCTGTGCGACACACAGTATCTACGCACACACACACACACACACACACACACACACGCACCAGGAAAGGGCCTTAATAAATCAAATCTCACTGGTCATCCAAATGCAGATGAGTTCATTTTCATAACCTATCTGCATTTCTAAAGAGAAACAAAATGATTTCTCAACAGGACTCATTTATCCCACATGTTTGCAATGGGGGCCAAGAAAAGCGCTTTATTAGATGAATTGTGATATCCTTAGTGTCCCGCATTGGACTCGTGGCTCTGATTTTTTGGATTTAAGCCGACGTAAAAAAGTTTCATCACATTTGGGTCAAAGGGACATGGACAAGATTTGTAAAGCATCAGAAAAAGGGATCATCTGGATGTGAGACGTGAGCTTTTGGGTCATAACTTCATATGTGGTGTCACTATAAATAACTCGGGTAAACTCGATATCACGATGAACCGCTGTCAATGCAGAAGACCCGAAGCGGAATACTAGATTTTCAAGTTGAAGGTGTTGAAAGGCCAGACAATGAAACACAGATCAGAGAACAAGGACTAAGGAAACGGGTATTAAGACATTTCTGTACGACACAAAGGTCCAGAGGAAGCAGCGGGCCTGACTACTTCCTGTCTGTAACAGCAGACTGATAAAATGGGTGTGAACGGCATCGGAAGGGATTAGCCGGGCGTCACTTGCTCAAGTTGACGAGGTCAAACTCATATCTGCACGATAAGCGCCTGGTGTGTCTCCGTTCCAAATGTGTGCACGCACACTGTGTGTTGATGTTGAATTAAATGGTGTGTTTGTGTGCATTTCTCTGCCGTTCGCTAATTCCTCAATTATATGCACGTGCACTAGTATCTTGGTGCCTTCGTAAGTGTGCTTATTGTAAGCGAACAGGTCTGTGTGTGTGGCCCATGTTGCTCTCATACTCCCAGTCGGACACTCAAACATTTCCTCGAGTGCTCTGCGGCGCTGTGGACCTGATGTAAACCATTTTACTGCAGTACGAGAAATAGTTTACGTCGTCATGCTCTCCTGCGGGCTAATTTCTCTCCCCAAACATGACCAGACCACTATTGGAGTAAACAGAAACACATTTGTATCGGGAATGTATTTGATCTATTCAGAAGAAGGAGCATCTGGGTTTCACATTTGCACGTTTGTTTCTGTTGAGAAGGACGGGTTCATTTCATCCCCAATGAGAATTGAAAGGCTTTACTTGTGACTACCAGTCAACAGGAACCACCTCACGGACGGACGAGGTTCAATCCTGGACGTTGCATTATGTCCATCTGTCATTATAGATGATACAGTATATGGAAAGTCCAGGAGTGCTTCACAAGTGGACTGAGAATGAAGATAAATGTGTCTTCGCTGTGTTTCCATTCTACTACTCGGCGAGTCATCGCAGAGATCCGTGAGGCCAAGGAGGAGGAGTGGGATGAATGTTGAGAGGAGGAAATACGGCTGTGCCGTCCCACCCGGGGAGCTGGGCTTCTAAACATCTGTGTGGTCTCCCTGAGATTAAGAGGCATGAAGGGAGTGGTGAGAAAAAGAAAACAAATTGGTTTGATTACCAAATCTGGTTTTGTCTCAGTGGGAGTATTTAGGGAGTAGTCTTAACGTCCAGCCAGCGTTTAACGCATTGATCAGGGTAAAAGCTCACAATGCTCCTTTATTAACGTTGTTTTATCAAGGGGAGGTCAGCTGACCACATTTTCTCCTTCCCAGAAATACTACGCTTTTCCTTCAAGCTGTTGAAAATTTTAATTTGACCGCCGAAACCTTAGCTTTTTGTCTTGGGAATTGAAAAGAAAGGTTATTAATGCATTTGCTCTGAGACACATGTGTAATTAACATAAACAAACAAGACCTCTGGCCACCTTTTCCGGCATTGACCACTTGCAAGACCTGTGGTTTGGTGATACGGGGGTTTCGGCGCTCACAATAGGAGGATATTTTAGTCCCAAAGGCAGCTTTAGGATTTAAAAGTTCAATAGCACATGCAGATTTGAAACAGCAACAGAAAAATGGTTTCTTATACGTTAATTAACAAGTCAAACAGTTGTTCTAATGGTTGAGGGTTACGTCCAGCCCAGCAGATTAATGAAGTGTTTACTTTACATCGGAGTACTGTGGGTGGAGAAGCCGAGGGGGAGACTCCAGAGAGCCCCAGTGGAGACAAATGTTTTCTTCGCTACAGGAAAAAATGAGTATATTGGAAAATGTGGTCTTTATTTGAGAAATATGAGAAGTACCACAAGCTACAAATCATTTTACTCAATGCATGGTCAGATTTGTTGACGGTAAGTGCAACATAGCGTCACGTGTTGGCGGAGACACCTTGACGTTTTGAATATGCGACGTCTAAATGAAGTCAAGGGCTCTGCTTTCTCCGTTTTCTTCTCCAGGTTTGTCTTTGGTTGGGCCAATAGTTAGAGGTTGCCAAACCAGTGCAGTGATTCATTGCTGTGAAACCCCAAATTAATTGAAGAAAAAGATGGTATTTTTGATGTCACACGTCAAAAAAATGACCCAACTTACCAGCAAAATCCACGCGACTCACAGTTTGCTGAAGGCCAATTCATTTTGTTTCAAGTGACCCGGGCAGGGAGAGGCAAGTTTGGACATGAAGAGCCGTTTCCAGGATAAACAGCCAATGTTCAGGGGAGCGACGTCGTATTCTCTAATGCTAACAGGAAATTTGAACCAACACACTCCCTCACACACATACACACACACACACACACACACACACAATTGTACCAGACGAGACTCAACAGTACCCCAAACACCAACACAACCACAGGCACAAATAACGTGGAAGGAGCTCAAGGCTGGACAGCTGGATGAAGTAACCTTCCAAAGTCTTTGGCTATTTTAGTCCTTTAAATAAAGGCGAGTTACTGTGTCATCCCACATCTGTATTACTGCATTACACCACTGAAAACAGAAAAATAGGATTTCAGTCTCAAAAGATTGAAACAAACTGAATTGCTCTTTTCTTTCAACTTGATTTGTGGGTACTACGTTAAGGATAAGGAAACAATTAAGGTCAGTAGGTCAATGTAGCCTCTCACTGCACTCAGACACCAAACGACAAACTGGAACTGATCCCAGCTTACTAATAAAGCCAAACCAAGTTGGAGGAAAGAATACTACAGTCTGTCATGACTAAATGAAGAGCAGAAGTGGGCGTAAAACGAAGGAGCTCTTAACACACAAATCCTCTCGCTCTTTCTCTGAGCTCGCCTGTTCACATGATGGTCTCCACTCTGTGCTCAAAGGGTTGTTTTTGCACACACCAACAAATCATTCACAAGACATTAGAGATGGTGCAAATAACTTAATTAGTCCTAATGTGAGCAAAAGATGCAGATAGATGGAACGGTTGTGTTAATAGCCGGAGCGAGACCCTGCATGCATGGCTGAAGTAACGGAGTGGCTCCCCTCAGCCGCTTATTTGTTTTTGGGAGCTGTAATTGATGACGGTGAAGGTTATGAGGTTGTGACTCTGGCAGGAGACACTATCAGTAAGAACATGTTTACGGTGGTCGACACTTGTCAGATGAAGGCGGTGGAGACGGAGGCTTTCATTAAAAAAAAAAAGACCTGGTTAATCACTTTCAATGTGAACGCAGCCATGAAGCGACTGTCAATCATCGCTTTTCACTTTGTCTGTCGTGTCTTTCTCTCGATCACCAAACATACACACTCAAGTAAAAAAAAGACCTTTCACCTTTCAACCTCTGCTACGTTTTGTCAACCTCAGTTATGCCAAACAGACGCAGACTGCAAACAAAGATGGAACGTGTGTGTGTGTGTGTGTGTCTGTGTGTGTGTGTGTGTGTGTGTGTGTGTGTGTGTGTGTGTGTGTGTGCCTCTTTTGCTTTGTAGATGCAGATGTAGATCATTTAATTTAAAAGCTTTGAAACAAAAAGATACGCACACACACACACGTGCAAACACACTCTCTTTATGACTGAAGTAAGGTCAAATCTCACACCGGTTTTAAGACCCATCTTATAATCAACTTCTCCTCTCCGCCGTGCACACTACAGTAGTGCACGCCAAGCGTGGTGTGAGCCCTGTGTGGAGGAAACACGGAGACACACCTGCCACTTAAAATACAGAGAACATAAAGCCTACTCATACAGACACACACACACACACACACACACACCTTCTGACCAGCTCCAGATGGCTGTCAATCACAAAAAGTCGCATTCATTTTAAAACTTTAAAAACCTCGAGTTGTGTTTTTGTGTGTTTGCTTGTGTGCTCAGAACATCCACGAAGTGAGACGCGTCACAAATGTCTCCCTTCCTCCTTCATTTTTTTCGTCCCCCTCCTTTCTTTCTGTGTGTTTCTTGTTTTGTTAATATCGTCACATTAACAAGATAAATAGTTCACCTTCATCTCAGCAGCTCTGTGATGCTGAACTCCACACAATGGCCCCGGTGTTAGTGTAGCGATTACATTCGCAATTAACTCTAATCTCAATAAACACACATTGCATTCACGCGTAGAACCCGGAGGAGTGGGCACAAGATTTTGGCATCAAACACTTTCTGGTTTCCTTTTGTTTTCCTGCTAGCATTGGCCAATCGTGTTGCAGCAGGCTTTGGTTGAATGCAGGTTAACAGTCGGGATGCGGACCGAAAGAGGTGGTTTGGAATTAGCTCGTAAAACGTTGTAACTGAAGACGCTAATCGGACTGTAATTAATGAGCAGCACAGGAGAAAAAAAGAATTGGTCTGTGGACTCCGAGACTGATTACGTACAAACAAGCAACGCATGTTAAAGCTTATTATGGTGCAAAGTCAATAGCTTTTATCCTCTCGGGACCATGAATATCTATAGAACATTTCACTCATGTAGTTTATTCCTAATGACGGTTGCACTGCCTCCTCTAGAGAATGTGGAGAACACAAGCCATGCTTTGAAGAGAGAAATGTCTCTTTACTGGAGGCACTTTGGCAGAATGTGTACAGCTGCTCAACAGTGAAGGTCAACACAGCCACTTTATTTAAAGGCGGAGTCTGTTTGTTAAATTTATGGCCACATTCTATGTCAGAGTAAAAGTCACTGGAAACAGTGAAGTCAATCCAAGTGGAGTCACCAAGCTCAGCTGGTAGAATAAAACACTGACAAACTAGGCAGGCGGCCAGGCCTGATAAACCCAACAATCCGTCAACAGGGAGAACGTTGGCAGCAGACCCGATTATCACGTACAGGCAGGAAACAGCAGCAGAGCATAGAACACGGGTTTTCTTGGGAAGCCTTTAAACATTCTGTTCACTGCAGGACGGATTTTCAAGAGTAGCAGCTTGAAGGCCGGTGAGCGGAAACTTCCACAGCAGACACTTTGCGAGTGGGAACAGAGTGACTTCGGGTGTTTGAGGAGGTTTTGACAAACATTTGTTTGTAATCCAGGTCATCTTGAAACAGGAAACACGACATACACACGTATATACACGTTTGTACATACGCAAGTCTATGGTGAGCGACAAGTGCGCCGTAAAATGGGCTTGATGGGTCTAAAAACTCAGCAGCTCTTTGTGTCTGGTTTAAAACCACAAGTCAGCTTCAATTTATTTGGTATGCGCCCTCTAAACTTGGCGGAGGAATGCCCCTCCGTATGAGGATACGTGGCAAAATTGAATGTGTTAAAACAAGCAACAAGTGAATCATACCTGTGGATCCTTCCCCGTTTGGATGCAGTCCTCTCTGTTGCCAGGTAACGGAGGCCAGTGGAGCTACGAAGGAGGAAGAGAAGAGAAAGAGGAAAAAAGGTCTGATAATTAATGAACTATTATCTTTGAGGAAATGCAAACAACCACCATATTCAGCCATGTTGCAAAGTGTAGTTGCTTTATTAAACCCGCAGTCTTAATGCAAGTCTGCAAATGTCTTACAAGATACTTAACGGCCCATGTGTGGTTAAATTGGAATTATTTTCCCTACAACATCAACTCTACTCTAGCGCAAACGAGTGTTTTGTGCATGAAGGGAAATAATAGCTTTGTATACAAGCAGGAAGGTTGTGCTCAACCAAACTTTCCGGACCATCTGCAGCTTAAAACTGCAAATAAATTAAAGTCTCTTCATATTTTCGACTCAAGCTCTCGCACTATAAAGGCAAGATTTACTGATTGGGAAAGTCCCAAAGTGTTCCTCTCATTCTGCCATTGAAACATGTGGAGGTGAATCTCAGAGCAACCTGACGTATCATTTGAACGAATGCCACTGACGGGGAAAGTTCTGTCTATGACTATGACGCGTGTAGTAAATTTGAGTTTTCTGAGGACTACCAGACAACTTCTCCGACACAATAACGCTTTGTCTGGAACTCTTTTTGCTTCCAGAGACAAATTAAACTGACTTCCATTACGATGTCTGATTAAATTCAGTGTGAATGGAAAGCATGTGCCAAGTGGTAAGTGAGTTAAAAGTGAGTGAATGTTTGTCCTTGTGCTCCTCATGCCCTCAATTTCATGTCAACAGCTACATTTGATACAACTCGTTCCTTAATTCCAACACATCACAGGTAGGCTCACTGTAAATGAGGGTGAGTGAGAAACTCAGCTCACAAAAGATTGGATTTCTGTGACTTTGATGTGCCTGGAAATTCTTTCAGAATTTGAAAGAATTTTCTTGAAATGTACACTATTGCAAACTTGTTTTAAACAGACTGCTCCACCCTTCATCCATCTGTCACCTACAGCACGGCAACGTTTGCTAAAAGCTGTCCTATAAATGTGGAAATCCATAAATCAACTAATCCTAAACTCTGGAGCGGTTTCTCTGTCCCATCCTGGACTGATAGGAATGCGTGCCTGTCGACCGGCTTGGCTCACACGTGCAGTTTGACCTCAGGAGGCCTGACGACGCGCCTGACTGACTACTGATACGCTGTGAAATCAGGCCGGCCTCAGATCTGGCTCACGACATTCAGAGAACTGCAGCGTTCAAACTGTCGTCCGGGAGTCTCGTTCTGCACGCTCATGGAAACCTTTCGCTTTCCTCTCTCCGTTTAACTGTTTCCTGACACTTCACCGGTGTGAGTGTTTGCTCTCTCATTTACAAACCCCTCAGGTCACGTTAATCACGTCTTTGATCGAACTTGGAATAGTGTTTATTTCAGCGAGTGAGGCCAAATCACTCCAACGTCAGTCAAACGGTTCTACTTTCCGGCTGAACTTGATCCAGTTTGAGCAGATACGAGTTCACAGATTTAATCTGATGCCATTTGACATTTGTTTTCAAACAAAACCCAGTTTTTACAGTTGGTCAGAGTTAAAGTGTAAAAACGACATGAGGTATTTATTCCAAAGAGATACTGCTGACTGTGCTGAGCAAGACAGCAACAAACCAAAGAAGGAAAACGTCCCACTGGTTTACAACTTCATTCCTGTTGTGAATGCACGCAGATGCCGTTTACATTTGTATTAGGTAGAATCTGTGCAACAGATGGTGTTATGCCAATTATTTCCTTCATCTCTGATTGGTGGAAGACATTGAGTAGAAACATCAGTCACACAATACAAGTTAGATGCCATTATTCAAAATTAATTCAAAAGAAAAGTTAACAGGTTTGGGACGGGTTTGAGACACAACAACTACACAATAATGCGTTCAGTCCGGAGACGCAGTGAGTCCTCCTTAACACAAAGAGTTGAAGCAGCATAGTTGTGATCTCTAGCAGCGAAATGCACCTACAGCAGCACCTTTTACAGCTCATAGATAACACGTTGCAGCTTGTTCTTTCAACACATTTTGTGGTTTTTACACAAGGAGCTTTGCGGGGTTGGAAGGCTGGAGAAAGCTGTTCGTATGCTATGCTAAGCTAAGCTGATTGACTACTGGCTCTGGTTCAGCTGCCCTCCAACGCTGGTTGTCACAGCAACAATGATCCAATGTCAACATGTGTTCTCTGAGAGATTATTTATTCTCTGGAGGTGTTTACAATATGTCTTGTGTTCTTTTTCTTTCAGCGTTGGATTATGGAGTATTTGGCAGATGTGTTTCATCCATTAAACCTTTGTTTCACTGAACTGGCTGCACATTTCATGGCTGCTGGCTCCGTTAGAAGGCCGGGCGTTAAAGCTCAAACCGCTTGCAGCAAACTAGCATATCAGCAAGCTTCATATGTGATCATCATCTCAGACAGAGAGCAGTGCGAGGAGGCAAAGACAGGGATCATAGGGCGGATTAAGGTGGGCGACGACTGGCTCTCGGTCTGCATGAATTCCCTGTGTCATCAGTGCCTTCCCTCACATTCTGACACACACTAAAACGCATACTGCTGATTCTTTTACTGCTGAAGCACTCTGGGGTCTTCTGTTTTACAGAGTTATTTTTATTTGTTCTTTACTAAACCAGTTTAATGGAAGATTTAGTATAAGAATGTAAATTCCAACGGTAGTAGATATGGTGATGACCTTTCTTCTGTTTATTTCCTCAAATCGAAGCCCTACAAAAAGAATTGTAAATAACATGGACTTTATATTCTATATAACTCTATTATAAGATACCCGTTTTCCACAGTTGTTAACATACTGTTCTAGCGCTGCATCACAGTGACTTACATTCTGATTGTTGAAGTGAATTATTTCAACAGTCATAATTGAAAATGAAAGATCCAAACTCTGAAGCAATAATAACTCTGTCAGTGTTTGATGACAGTGGAAATGTGCAGCTCAGGTAACAGATCTGACTTCTGGATCATTATTTATCTCTTCTGTCTTTCTGGCAAACATAATAAACTGTAAACCAGTAACCACAGTGTTTGAAAAGTTTGAATGATAAATGAAACATACAGATTAAAAGGTGATAGACGTAAAAACTAGGTTTGATTTACGACCAGCAGCACTTTTATGGTTGTGAGATTGGCAACGAAATCCAGATGTTAAAAAGGCTTGTTCAGGTCAGAACAAACTTTAATAGAAGAAGAAAGAGAGCAAACCTAAAATCTTACTGGAGTAAATGCATTGTATCCATCTTTTTCTTTCTTTAGTGTAAATATATATATATATGTATATATATATATACATCTCTTTTTTATGAAAACAAAGACTTCTTTGTTCAACTGTTTCAGCTATTGTGTGAATGTGTACAGCGGTAAAATGGAATAATAAAAATGACTGGTCAGATTCTAGTTCTCATTTTGATGGTTAATCTTTGAGTGTTTTGAAGTTCTGCAAATACTTTTGACAAAGAACTGCAGCGTCGATCAAAATGAAAAGACCATTAACCATTAAAATACGTAAAGCACTTATTTATACTTTCAACTTATGCCATTTATTGTCTTAAAAAAGCTCCACCTCTTTGGACTCGGTGCTGACAGGTCCCAGCATGAGAGAGTAGAGGATGTCTTTTCCTCCCAGGAAGAGACGGTCACGGTACTCGTCCAGGAAGACGGCGGTGAGAGACAGCTGGTCGCGATGCCCGCTGAAGATGGACGACCTGTTGGTGGACAGCAGGTCTGCAGAGACAGATGAGGAGAAAAAGATGAGCAATGTCATCGGTTTCATTTTCACTCACACAGGAAAGAGATTCCTCTTGAGCATCAGAGCGTAAAATGCAAGCAGGAGAAGATTAACTTCTGTATTAAAAGGAGAAACGAGGTGGGTTGGTGATGCGGAGGAACGTCTTCTCTTCTTTCAAAAGCTGGCATCGCAGATTTATTTTGAGTCTATTTTCATGTTGAAGCTGTTCTAATCACTACAAATACATTTTTCCAACCGCTTATGTTATTTGACAGCGACTTTCTGCCTGTTCTACAGTATTTGTCACACGTAGCATCACAGTCTTTTGCTGCGCGTTTGTCTCGCTCCTGTTGCTGCGGTAAACACATAAAGCCTGTGCGTTAAAGGATGATCCCTAAAGGACCTACACAACAAATGAGAACAGGACGTTCATGAGAGCACAGTGAGCGAGTACCAGTGGGGGGCCGCAGTCCGTTTGCACTAACCAGCCTGCACCTCCCGGCTCTCCTCTCTGATGTTGCAGCAGCTTTAAAAGATTGATGCAACTACTCTGCAGGAGTGGAAGGGGCCGGGTTGACTTTGAGTTCAGCGAGACACGGGGCGTCGTACACACACACACACACACACACACACACATTTCCACAGCTTAGAAAATCTCCCACTTTCTCACACCAACACCTATCACCTCCCCTACAAGCCCTTCTTAACTCTTCCGTTGTGTCATAGTTTTTGCTCTGTCCCCTTCTCCTCCTCTCCTCCTCCTCCTCCTCCTCTCCTCCTCCTCCTCTCCTCTCTAACAAGCTGAGGAGAGAAATCTTTGTGTGAGAAGACGTCTTCGGTATGCCAAACACTCAGTGGAGTATTTTGGATGAATTGGCTTTCCGTTTGCCTCTCATCACTCGTCCGTCGCACTCGATATTCCACTCTCTCCCTTTGGCTCTTTCCAACACACACACACACACACACACGCACACACACGCAGGTTGAGAAAGTATGCCCAGTCACTCGCCACTCAGTAGAGTATTAACTGAGTGAAGCACAGAGGGCCTCCTGTACCAGCAGCACCTTGTCCATCACGGAGGCCTCGCAGACACACCGATGATCTGTTTTTATTAGAAATATCTGTTTCTCAAACTCACAAGCTTCCACACACACGCGCACACACACACAGATACACACACACGCACACGCACGCACAGACATAAAGCTTTACCCTCATTAGCAGTGCAGAAGAAACTTTACAGTTTAGCATTTATCGTGACCCACTTCAAAGCGTTATAAATGTTGTTGCAAAAATACTCTGTAGATAATTATAGTGGGAATAGATTTATAAGAAAGACTTAAAGCTGCTGGCAAGAGAATAATGAGAAGACGCACGAGCAGGGGAAGACACTGGGGATGTTCTGTGGGCAGAGAGGGAGTTGGAAGATAAAGTTGGAGACGGGAGGGGGAGTGTTGTGGCTTTTCGCGGCGGGTGAAAGTCAGAAAATAATGAGTAGGAAGAGAGACGGGCGGGTCGAGAAAGCCACGTGACACAGATTGTAAAGATGTGTGATGGATCTGTGACAGACGAGGTAAGCAGAGCAACATCAGCTCCAGATCGGATTTTTGTTTGCTGCTGGAGATCAGTGCTGTGGAATGATTTTGCATTTTCATACCAAACAATATTTTCTCAGTGCAGTTTGAACGCATCGATTGACACAGAATATTTTGCTCTTTGTTTTTGGCAAAGTTTCAATAACAACTACTATGTATACTATATATACAATGCACAACCAGCAAGCATATCTGCAGATGTAGAGGTCAGGACGTTACAGCTGGAATAAGTGTTTTCATGACACGGTTTATCAGCAGAACATGCAGCTCCACACAACGTCCCACAAGTTCAACTTTTTCCACGTAACTCTGAGCCCTGAGATGACATTCAGCTGGAGAGTGGCTGCTGAACGATGACATGTGATGAAACTGTGTGTGTGTGTGTGTGTGTGTGTGTGTGTGTGGTTTGTGTGAGGAAGGGGTGGTTTTGTGTGTTCGCAGACCTGCAACAGACACTGTGCGACGGTCTTATATCTGCTGTTCACGCCACACGTCTTTGTTTTGACAGGAAAGATTGCAGAAGATGGGAAATGTTATAGCTGAGGGTTACGGTTGGAAGGGAGAAGAATAAATGGTCGTGTCCTACTTAAATAACCTTACGGGTGACTGGTGGACAAATGAAACAAATTCCATTATAATCCATCAAAGAAATTCTGAAAAGTTTCACTCGGAAACCACAAATGTAAACCTCATGCTGAAAAGTCAGGGGATCACCAAAGGATGAAGGATTCAACCTCTGGGGACCATGAAGGTGTCTATAAAATATCATAGCAGTCCATCAAACGGTTGCTGAGAAGATCAATCAGGACCCAAGTGCGGACGGACCGACGGACCGAGCGACCGGATAGAAAGGATGATTCTCCCTTCATGTCACACCAGACGGGTTCTTGGTCTGCAGACCTATTAAAAAAACGTATGCGACTTATTGATGCTGTCAACAATAGTGTTTTATTCTGAAATGGATCAATCATTTAAAAGGGTTGTTGTGTTTTTTGATGCTACATTTATATTGTCTCTTTTTCTTCTTTTGTTACCTTTGGTATCACGCAGAAGTACACGCAAATGTTCCCACAAATAACTCATACGTGCATGCGTGAAATATGCGGACACACACCCCAGAGGGAAAAGGTGAGCTAACAGCTTCTATCTGCAGCTTGTTATCACTCCGGCAGCTCATCGCCTCACTGAAGAAACCGCCGTCTCCTGCTGTCAAGCCGTCTTCACAGCTCTCCAATCTACCCGCCTGACCCCCCCCTGCTCTCCGTCCTGCTGCCTCTCTTCTTCCCGTCCATCTCTTTCTGCTCCTCAAGTCGCTTCCAAATGGCTTCAGTTCTCCCCCGTCTCTCCCCTCCGCTGCTCGGCGTCCCTCTCCTGTCTCTCGCTGCATCCATCTCGTGTCCCGGGACCCGATGTACATCTTCGAAATCCCTCGCTGCCTCCACGGGGAAACTTGTGCATCTGTCTCCAATGAGCCTAAAGGCAGCGGGCCGCCGCTGCGTTGACAAGCAGCCAAAGCCCAGCGACGCGCGGGGGAAGCATCTGCTTTCACTGTGCGTGTCAGACCTCGGCTGTCACGCAGCCTTCAAACGTCCGTACGCTGCGATATGTTTTGAGATTGTGTTAGACAGGCCGAGGCGCGTCCCGGTGTCCGTCAAATGTGACGTCTCGGATGTCTCAAGAGTGGCTGCTGCTGTCTATTTGCATATTTTGGATTGATGCGGGAGCTCGCGTGGGTCTTTCATCACCCCCAGGCATGCAAAATAAACTTCTGATTATAGATTACAAAACAGCGCGAGGAAACCGAAGGCAACATTACTGCAAAAATGTAAAAAAGAAAAGGAGAAAAAGTTTCAAATGAAGAAGTTCAGCACTGACAAGTCTGGAAAACAAACAAACAGAACTGAGCAGAGAAGGAAAGTTATCTTCCAAATCCCATGTTGACACCTCTAATGTACAAATTGGTCACAAGCAGAGTGTAAGCTGTGTTAAGCTGCGCACACGCGCACACATTGCATGTAACTAGGCACACACTCACACTCACACATCAGTGTTATCATTGGCTCAGTGCGAGAGGGGGGACACATCTGAAGGCTTATTTAGACCTTCCTGTGCTACGAAATAACATACTCAGAAATCACTATGCACTACACAACACACACACACACACACACACACACAGACGCACACAACAGAGACGTGGTACACGGCACCTTACTGGTGGATGAAAAGGTCCTTGGTTCAATCACACATAATTCACGCCTCAGCCCCACAAACTCACCGGGCAGTCTGCTAATTCTCAAATATAGTTGCGTTGACAATTTGTTTTCATGCACTCTCACACGCACGCACCTACACACATGCGCACACAAACATCCATTAGACTCATTACGCCGGTGCTTCCCAGCGTGTCATTAGATTTCGGCTGTATATTGTTGCAGCGAGTCGAGTATTTCTGGAATCTGCCGCATGCACAAAAAAGTCATCTGCTTCTCCCCCTCAGCCTCCTCTCCCGGGTCTCATATTCCCTCTCATCTTCCTCGCCCTGCCTGCACGGTTTGCTGTGACATGTGCGTCAGGCCTCGACAAATTACCGTCATTATGGCCTACAGCTTTTCATACATACTGTATTTATTGTAGTACAGAAAAAGAAAATGCAGAATAAATAAATCACGAAAATAGATATTTTGCTTTTCTGTCGAATTGTTGTTTTGTCGAAGCAAATGTGACAATTTCTCTTTATCTAGAATCTAGGTCATATATCTAGATAGTGAGTGTGTTAATACGTGCAGAAATGTCAAATACTAAACAGTGCACATACTATGAATTCAGTATGGTTGTCTTATGTAATCTTGAAACAGGTGTTTCTAATACGATGCAAGGGGGTTTAAGTCTTTCTTTAAAACATTTTGAATGAAGCTCAGAGCAGTCTTGATTAAATAAACATTAATGACGATGTTTGCATGTCAATATCATTTCACATAAGTCTTCTGTTATTTCACTTTTTATTTTTTACATACAAAGTGTTAGTTCACAGCTGTAAGACCTCCAGATATCTGCTTCCATGGTTTAAATTCACGGCGATGTTACCTGAGAACTTGTGACACACAAAGTCCTTCCAACCGGTTGGGGCTGCTCATTTCCCCCACTCAACCTGCATTCTTAACACTTGATCATTTGATAAAACCTTGAAACGACAGATGAGCGCCTAAAAGCGAGTGCACAAAAAACATCTGGTGACTTTACATTTGGGTTCGGAACGCTCTTTTTTATTTCTTAATCTTTCTCTCATGAGCAAAAAGTTGTCTCTCCTCTCTTGTCTCTTTGTCGTCTCCGGATGCCGGTGAGAGTTTGTGATACTTGAGCTTCCCTGCTGGGCCAATAAAAACAGCACATTGTTACC